AATCACTATAAATAGACTAAATATCTCCTTTTTTTTTTTGCTTCTATAAAGATCTTTCCTGTCTGTGCTTCATTAAAGCATTGACATAACAGCTTTAAATGAAAAGAGGTAGATTTAGATTAGAGACTGGGAAGGAATTCTTCCCTGTAAGGCCCTGAGGCCCTGGCACAGGCTGCCCCATCCCTGAAAGTGTCCAAGGCCAGGTTGGAATCAGATGAGCCTTAAGGTCCCTTCCAACCCAAACTATTTTGTGATCAAGTGTCATGTATTGAGCTAGGATTTATTACCATGTTTTTACCTGATGATGGGAAAGTTGTTTTGCCTGCCATGAAATGTTGGGTTGTTGCCTTTTTTTTTTTTTTATTTTACAGCATTTTGTTTGTGCCAAGTGTGAGAAGCCATTCTTGGGGCACCGACACTATGAGAAAAAGGGGCTGGCCTATTGTGAGACTCATTATAATCAGGTAAATTCAGCCATCTGTGATGTAGGTATTGTTGTGTCTGGGAAATGCTTTTTCATGTTTTGTATATGCAAAGCTATGCAGATTTTGCATAATCTGAATTTGTAGATGCAATGGAATAATAAGAAATTAGTCAGATTTAAGAGAAAAAGAATAGTTTTTCTTGGCAGAAAAGTGATGCTGAACACAGAAATGTCCTGGGGATGCTGATTTTAACTTGTGCCATTGACAGAAAATCACTGACCATGTGTTGAGATTAAAATCCTTGTGATTTTACTTCTAATGTATTTCTGTGGGCTTCTTTGATAATTACTTCTTTCTGTGGGCACAAGGCAACTATTGTGTTGTCTAAAACATAAAAAAGTAGATTGATTAAAAAATTAAAAAAAAAAAACAGAAAAACCAATCAAACCCTGTTTGTTCTGTGTGATTTGACTGAACGATGTTTTGGTTTGGAATTTTCTTCTGTTAGATAAATAACTCATAAGAGGTAAGTGTTGCTGTTCTGACAGTGGCTGTATTTTAGCAATAGTTCTATTTTGGGGTTTGTAGTTGAGCATCAGGAGATGTTTGTCTACACTAAGCATCATACTCTACCCATCCTTTCTTCTCCACAGGACTTTAAGATCCCCTAACAGTGCTAGAGTGTGAGGCATCAACAAAAAAGGTTTTGTAGTGTTTAGTGGTATGAGATCCAAAGGAACATAGGCTATTTGGCAAGTGTATGAGAAGTTATTCAGAAGATTTAAATTGGTATATTTGGGAGCCTCTGGTGTATCTGGGAATTCTTTGATTATTAGTATTTAATGTCCACACCAGCTGTGTGATTTGGGAACCATGAGTAGTCAGCAACATGAGTTTGTATTCTTATTTCTTTTTCTGTGCAGCTCTTTGGAGATGTCTGCTACAACTGCAGCCACGTGATAGAGGGAGATGGTAAGATTTGTTCTCTCCTTGTTTTGGGTTGCTGTCCTTGTTTCATTTGTTAGTGCAGCTGTTGCAGTCCCACGGTTGCAAGACAACAGTGTTTGTTTTCACATCTGGCTTCATTTGAATTTGGATATAAATCTGAATTCAAACAATCCATCAGTTTCCTCTTACTTGGTGCTTTTACTTTTGCAGTGGTGTCAGCTCTTAACAAGGCCTGGTGTGTGAATTGCTTCTCCTGCTCCACCTGCAATGTCAAGCTCACACTGAAGTAAGTCAGTGTTTGTATTTTGGACCACGAGAGTGAGACATTTGCCCCTAAGGCAGGGTATCAGCCTGGAGGAGCTGTGAGCCTCTGCCTCTCTGAAGGCCAATGTACCTTTCTCTGAGGGAACAGGTGTGCTTATAATTCCACTGATTTCAGCACTGAAAGGGAGCTGGCACTCAGCATCCTCTCTGACCTATTTTCCTTCATTAATCTGTCCTGTAAGGAGGTTGATTAAGAGGGGAGCTCATTCAGCAGTACAGAGGGAAGGCTTTAAACATTGAGGAACTGCCTGTCCTGGATAACCTGCAGCCTTCTTGTCTCCTTAACTGTGGTTGCTCCCCTCAATGACAATGTTTGCTATTGCATAGATTATTTTGAAATAAATATGTACCTCAAATATATATAGAAGAGGGGCAGAAAAAAAACCCCAGTCCTACATTTTTCCTTTCTCAGGTTCAAAACTTTATCCTACTCTGCTGGGTTGGCTTCACTGGCCATATGAAGGAGCTCTAATTCATCCCTAAGGGGACCTCTGAAGGGACACTTGTATTCTACAGTTACAAAATTATTATTCTAGACTGCTACATGTAAATATATAGCAAAATCTTGCTCCTTATTTCCCCAGCAATACTAAATACCTCAGTTCACTGATAAGAACCCAGTCTCTACACTTGCATCACCAGATGAGGAAATGAGTTGTTTTACAAATGGAATACAATGCTTGCAACAACACTGATGTAGATGCGTGGAAATTTTAATTAGTGAAGCATACAGTTTGCAAATACCATTTGAATAACTTTTCTTTGTGTTAAAGGAATAAATTTGTGGAGTTTGACATGAAGCCTGTGTGCAAGAAATGCTATGAGAAATTCCCTCTGGAGCTGAAGAAACGTCTGAAGAAGTTGTCAGAGCTGGCATCCAAGAAGATCCATCCTAAAGCTTTAGATTTAAACTCTGCTTAAAGCAAACAGGTCTGTCAGTCTCCTGACTGCACTCTTAACACAAGCTGCTGCTCACTGCAGCTGTTGATTACAGAAGCAATTACTAAGAAGTGGAACCAAAGATAAGCAGTACCTTCCCCTGCTTCTGGTGATGTCTCTTGCATCTAGACTGTCCCTTTTCCCAAGCAATTGTCTATTAACACTGGCAGGAAGAGGAATATGAGTTCTGCTTGAGCAGTGCACAGGCTGATTATTAATTTGCTACTAACATTGCATTTTGCCTTTGTGGAGCTATACACAATCTTTCCTTCTTCACTTGAGCTTTACTACTCTTTACGCTCCTCTAGTCCAAGGAATTTGGAAAGAGTGGTTAAATGTAGGGCTGGAAGAAATGTCAGATTTGCTCTTTCTCAATCAGAGTATCAGAATTTTTCTTCTTACTCTGGCTGAAGCAGTTTTTAGGGTTTTTAATATATAGGCAAATAATTTGAAAGTTGTCATTCTTTACTGTGTGTGAAAAGTTCTCATCTTTCTCCAGATTCCTATAGAGAATATATGGGTGCCCTATCCCATATCCCAATCCTTCTGGTTGGTATATTTACTGGGCAAGCCCAGGAACCAGTAGCTATGGCACCTGCACTGCCCACTTAGACCCAGTGTTAAGGCAGCTAAGAAGTTTCCTTTGCTGCTTCTGTGCTCAGTACTAGGGAGATTTCAGCTGTCAAGGCCACGTGAGCCTCTTCAGAATAGCTGGGCTCTCTTAAGGAGAAGGTGGCTTTAGGAAACTAAGTATTTTATTAGAACTGACACTCATTTTCTCTGTTCTCTACTACTACATGGCTGGTAGAGCTTCTGCTGGGCAATGTCCTATCCATTGGCATAGCTGATATTTATTGAGGCAGTGTGGCTGGAGCATTGGTTACTCTTCTGCATAAGGAAATGGAATAAATAATATGGTACCAATTTAAGCACTTCAGTTTTCCCGTTCTCACTTTATTTGCCAGCCAATATATGCTTGTTGGTCATGCTCCACAAAGCCCAATTACATGAAGGTGTTTCTAATGTTTACATTTTGTAGCAAATGTGTTACACATAAAAACCCATTTTTCTTCAAATTTTTACCCAAATAAGAGTCCCATTCATCTTTTTTTTTGAGAGCTGAGTTTACTTCAGGAGAGGATCTCAGACATGATGTTAACATCTCAAGCATATAGTCCTCCTCTGAAAATTTGTCTGTCACCAGTGAGATTTCACTGGTCCTACTGTCTCTGCTACCACATCCCAAGGTGCTGAGAAATTTCCTGGTTTTGGATATTCTCAATACTTCTTTAGAGGGGAGCCATCAACAGTGCTGTCCCTGAGCCCACCTGCACAATGTGAGAAGGTCACTGGGATCTGAGTCCCCCAGAGGTGACCCCCATACTTCCTTGTGCTGAACTGAGCTGAGCAGCCTGAAAATCCCTTCCCATGAACAGTTGTGAGACTCTGCCTGTCCCTTTGCAAGGCTGACAAGTACTGGAGGACTTACTGCCCTTTGCATGATTTAAATCTTGCAAAAAGTGGCTGGTTTAATCAGTCAGATGAACACAGCAGTTGGGCCAAGACAGCACCCTGCAGCCACAGGTGTATTTGGTAGCAAGAAGTTAAAGCTTCCCCACTTCTTGTGAGTGTTAGCAGCAACTGGACTGGGGCAATACCTTAGAAATGTGTTACTGTGCTTGCTGGATCAATACCCATGGAACTGCACCAGGGATAGCAAAGCAGAGGTAGGAATTCCTGGATAAGTGATCAGAATCCCACATGTGAGACCATCTCTTAGAGCTTCACCGCCTTTGCTGACTCATTTCCCTCAGCTGCTTTGCTTTTTGTTGCTGTAAGTTACCATCATCTTTTAACTGGGTTATGCTGGACCCACTCTAACAATGCTGAGGGGATAGGTCTAATTTTAGCAGTAAACTCTTTCATCTTCTCCTGACCAGTTTGCACTGTAGATTCCAGTAACAGTAGCTGCTTGTGCCACTGCTTTAGGAGAACACGTGGCTATTCATTGTTCTCTCATCAGCCTTAAAATGGCCTTTTAGTTAAGGGCACAAAGAACAGCATGTCTTTTGGTGCAGTAGTGTGGCCCTGCAGAGACCCTCATTTAGTCAAACCTGTTGTTTGACATTTTGTCACAGCATAAAACACTTGAATTCTGACCTAGGTGCAGCTCAGTATGTTATGCAGATTCTTCTCAGCATAAAACATTCCTGTTCCTGTAATCTCAGTCACAGGCCCTGTGTAATGCTGAATCTGAGCAGCTGTGTATCCCCAGCCTCCTGGGAAGTGGTGGAGGAACACACAGCCACACATTCCTGGTAAATATGGGAGGACTAAGTAACTATCAGCCAATAGATGATATTATTTCAGCAGCCACTCACATTCAGCAATGGAAAATGCATGTATGTGAATGTGAATGACATTATTTCTGTGCTGCCAGTGAAGTTTAATGGGTGCTTTCACCTTGTCTTGTGTTAGATATTTGGCAGACCTAGAAAGCTTCAGAGTTCTAAGGACAGGTGATATCATTCTCTTTGATAAGCTGTTCAGTTCTCTAGGATCTGAACTATGTCCTTATCTCTGGAACATTTTGCAAAATTAGTTACGAACAAAATAATTGTAATCCCTGGTCTCTATACTAATGGAGGGTGATATTCTCTTAAATTATTAATTTTTCACACTAATTTTTCTTATACTTCTGGTGCCCATAGCCTGCAATGCACAGAGTTAAAGTAGTTTGAGCCTACAATGTGCAGAGTTAAAGTAGTTTGTTACCATCACATCTTTGTGAGAGTGGAGTTGAAGGAGTAGGAGAAATAACTATAAATGGCTTTAAAAAATGCATCTTCCTCTACTTCTGTCAGTCTACTTTTTTAAAACCAAGTAGAATATAGTGCAAACTCCCAAGTTCTCCCTAGTGCCTTGGTAGGCTGACAGGTTGGGTTTTGTTTTCTTTTTAATTAAGATAGACAAGGTGTCAGTAAGAAATAAGCTGCATGCTTTTTTTCCATTGCTGTAAATAGACCTGTTGGCCAAATTCTTCCTAAGCATCACACCACTGGAGAGTAGAGATTTATATGAAGGTTGAGCTTGGCTCAGAAATCTACACTTAATAGAAGATGTCTCATACTATACATTTATATTTATACCTAATTCATATTTATACCTAATTAAAATCACTAACACTCACTGAGTACACTTGAAAATGGTTTTGCTTTCAGAAAGCATGGTGTGTGAGGCTTGTTTTCATGGGTATGCTAATCACCTGCAGTGCTTCTTTATGGCTCTAATCCTCTCTCTCTAGATTTGTATCCTGGTGTTTTCACAGGAGTCTGTGCAGTGATGGCAAACACTGGTCAGCCTTTTGTAGAGAGAATTCCTGATGTGGCATGGCTGGTACTAGATGATATGACTGACACTCTTTCAAAAGTGATTGGTTGGGGAAGGAATAGATTGCAGGCAAGCATGTAATAAACATGGTTATATTAGTCTGTAAAGCACTGTTAAGTGCTGAGGGTATTAGACTGAGAAAAGAATTAGCAGCTGCCTGCCTTGGTTCAGGCCTTGGTGGGTTCTGCACTGTGTAGAGCTCTCACTTTATCACACGTTGTTTGAGCTGTCTAACCAAAGCACATGATTGTAGATTGAAATGCTGTAATACTGTGCCTTTGTATGTTCTTGTATTAAAGTTAACTGTAATACATTTTAAATCTTTACACAAAAAAAAAAAGAAAAAAAATTGTGCAGTGTACAGTTAATGCCATATTTTCAGTGCTTAGCCAGAGCCTGTTACCCACTCTGAGGAATCCTGGGAATGCTGAAACCTGAGGCACCGTTGTGGTGAATTCGTGTTGTGGACCTGTGCTGCTTCTGTGGTGATGTGCTGGTTGATGAGGATGTGCAGAAAGGGGTATCATCCTTTTAGTGGCTGTGTTGTACAAATTGTGTTATGTAGGTAGTGAGTAGATGGGATACTATGATAATTTACAGGATATAGTGGATATTTGGTTGATTTAGGTCACATGGATCTGGAGCAAACATTCACTTGGTTAAAAAAAAAAGACATTGTGGTTGATTTTCTGCAGTCTTTATTTAAAAACCAGAAACAATACAGTTTGGCTGCAAGATTTCTTTTTGTACAGGTGAAGTGTTGAACATTTCTCACTTATAGCTAGTTAGTTAGATCAGACACTGGGTGACAAAACCACTCTGGGTAATTAGACTCCAGCATTTCCATTGCCAGCAATGGACACTACAGCAGGAGCATCTAACTGCTTGCAAAAAGATCAGCTATTCTGACAGGTGTGGCACTCATTTAGATGCACAAAGAGAGTGGGCTCTTCCCTGCCACCATATACAAAACTCCCACCAGCATTTGAATTTTGTGCACACGTGTCTGAGGCAACAAGAGATCCATTGTGCATCCATTGGCAAAGTTGAGAGATCAAGCAGGGCTGCTTTTCCAGCACTGCCAGTTGTGTCTCAAGGAACTTGGTGTAAATGCTTTAAGACATGTTCATGTTTCACTGGGAGTGAGGGAGGAATGCTTGATCTGAGGGGGAAGCAGCTAAGCTTGCTCCCACCATAGTCTGTATCTACTTTACACACACAGAGCACACTCTGGTTCCTGTGGCACCAAAGCCGTGTTTCTACAAAGCTCTTGGAGATGAACAAGTGCTGAATCAAATTTTACCACTCCAGCTGTCTGCTAAACAGGAAGCAGAAGAGTTCAGGACAAATTAAAGCTATTATTCCTGTCTCGTGAGGGAATGTCTGCATAACTCCTAACAGAACATTCTTGTGGAGCAGAAAAGTCTCTTTTCAACAGACCTCTGTTAGACTGAGTTCTTCAGTTCTGATTTGCACTGAATAGCTCATCTGTATCTTGAAATAGAAGCAACTAAACGTGATGAACCCAAACCCCAGACTCATTTCAGAACTTACTAGAAACTGCACAGTACAAAGTGGTTGTTAGTTTCCGAGACCATTATAGCATGTGGAAGAAAGAAGACTAATTTAATCGAGGCTGTGGTAAGTCAGGGGACATATTACCTTTCAAACTGTCTAGTTATCTACTACTAAAGGGCATTTCTCCACTTCTAGAATTGCCAACAGGTGGAAAAAAATTACCTTTGTTTGCAAAGACTCTTGGAGTTTGTACATTTAGTAAGAGCATATGCAATAAGGGGCATTTTCTTTCCAAAAGGAAGGCAGCTCTCCATGTGTGTCTGTCTTTGAATGGAGGAGATTCAGGCTATTGGAAGGGGCCCTCACAGGGTTTCTGCACTCCCCTAGAACATTAAAGTCCATTTAAACTTTCTCTAAATCCAGTATCTGAATGGAGTTCTCATACTACATCTAAGACAGAAGTGGTACAGATAGTTGAAAGCACATGCTGACTTGAGTTTCTCCTGCACTAGTGTTTCAGCAACTCAGTTCATTCAGTGTGTGTTCAGAAGATTGATCAGCAAGATTAACATTTTTTTTAAATGGCATTTCTTCTGGGATATGAAGTTACAGGTAGTTTGGCACAAGTACAGGTCATGGGCTCTATTTCCACTCTCAGGCTGGGAGGTTCTTTTGCTTGTTTACAGCATTCATGAGCAGGCGTACGTAGGATGTTAACAGGTCATCCATTTTGTAACCCTGTCAGGGAAGAAAAAAGTCTTAAATCTCTCAGGGAACTCCAGAAACAAAAATAACTATCCTTTCCTCCCCTTTTTATTATCTTCTCAGGTTCTTCTTCAGGTTCTTCTGTCCTTATATGGATTTCTTTTCTGTCAATATCTGTCAGTGTTTTAGTTACAATTTATCCATTCCTTCCTCTGTTTTTCATAGATTTCAAAAACTTTACAGAGCATAGCTCTGCTGTCTACTTGGTATTCACTCTGTAGCTTGACTTGTACTTAAGCTTTTCTGTCAGAGTAGTTAGCCTTTAAACGTATTTGTTATCTTTACAAATCTACCTTTAAATATGAATACAGTGATGCTTCTCTGAGATTGTGAATAGTCTGAAACCAGTTTTTAAGGTGGTACCACTCCCTGGAAAATATCCAGTCTTGCAAGGCTGGCATTACTACATAACTGGAGGCAGCCCTGCAAGACAAAAAGCTTATGTAGTTTTGCAGTCTTAACTTCTCAAATGGATAGAATTTTGATGTATGGGAAGAATTTGGGAAATGGCTGTTTTTCCTTGTGTCCTGTGTCATGCATCTTTGCACCAGATGGCATTGTATATGAACTGAACCAGTTCTAAATGGCAGCTTTATTGACACAGCAGTGAATGCTTTTGGTATTTATGGTATAATTGGTATAATTATCATATATATGGTACAGTTTCTTTGGTATAATGCTGCACTGGTATTTATCTGTTTTCATACCATCTTTTGTAGCAATTGGGGTTGGAAAGGAAAAATTAGGATTTTGTTGTGTCTTAGTTGGCGAAACTCTTCTTACCAGAGATGTCTCACATAAGAGTCGGTTTCCTCGTACCAGGTTCCCTATGGTCATGTGAAAATATGTGCTCCCACTGCTCCAGTTGGAGATCTTATTGAAGGGGTAGACTACTAAAATGTCCTGTAGGGGGAAACAAAGTGATCTATACAACATTTCTCAAATGAAAACAGGCTGTTACATAAGAAAACTTGTAGACCCAGAGAATTCTTGTTCTTTCTCACTTCATTTATAAAAATAGTGGGTGAAGGTAATTCCTGAATCCAGGTTAGTGGTATATTGTATTTTCACCAAACAGGTAAATCTTAATCACGCTAATGAGACTTCCTTTCATTATATATTGCTCTTTGCCTTAGCATACTGCCATTAGATTTACAATAATCCAAACCTGTCTTCTAATTTGTTTGGTTATTGAAAGCAAATAGTGCTACTCCCTTTTCCTGAGACCTTGGTAAGACTAGACTGTTGGGGTTAGACTGCAGCTAAATATGGCCATTCAGCCTGATCTCTTACACACCTGGGGCTTCCTGCAAAGCATTTTTCTGAAGCAGATTCCTGGGTGCACTGCCCATCCATCTTCCTGATCTTACCACCTTGCCAGGTCTAACATGATTCCCATGTCTTTTTTCAGAGATGTTCTATCCTATTCCTTTCCAGAATAGAAACTGCAGAGAAGTGATTTGAGGCAGTAATGTTTTCTTCAGTTTCACACAGAAAAAATGAATAGAGAGCCTCTATCCTCTCCTACCATTCCTGGGCAAGGTCCTATCAGTGTCACTAAATTATCAGGGTCTGTTCAGTCCTTCCTTAGATGGACTTGTGAGAAGCAGCTGTTACCTTTGTCTTCTGATGTATCAGTGACACTCCTTGCTTGTTGATTGCAATCAGTACAATCTCTGGGAAATTGGGCTCCGAGGCTTGCTGCAAAAGAGTAACACAGCAAGGTAAACAGAAAATTGAGAAATTATCTGTATCAGGGGCCTAGTGACCTTTGAGAGTGTCCAGTGCTTCTTGTTCTCTCTCCCAAATGAACACTGAAACATTTTGGCCATATATTGATGACTTGAGCAAATGCTACATGACAGCTGAATCAGATCCATTATTTACTATGCTGTCTGATAACAGGTTAAATGATTGATTGCAAACCACTTAAGAGCCTAGTGAGGAGAAATTAAAGGTAACACATGGGAAATTATTCTTGGGTGATATCCACTCTAGCATGAGAGGATTAGTACCATTCTGTTCTGAGGGAAGAGTCACCAAAGAGTAAGATTTGGCAACATTTTCTTGTGGAGAGCAATGACAGGACAATTTAGCCCCCTACAGCTACTACACAATTGTAGTAGAGGTGTTATAACTAGAGCAACAACATTGCCAGTAAACAACAAGCATAGTTTAGAATGAATAAAGAATCCATCTCCCAATTTGGAAGAAACTGAATTTTCCTCTATAGATTACAGGAATTCAGCTTTATAATGTATTTTTACTTTCAGATGTGGAATTACAGTCAGTCTGTACCCCTTGGTACTGATCTACTACCAAATCCTCTCAGACAGGCCTTCAAACGTACCTTCACCTCAAAAAAGGCTGATCCAAACGTTGGCCACCGGTGTATCATTTTCAAGAAAGCAATCTTGGCCTCATCCACAGTTTTTCCTTCATGTTTACTGTATGCTGCAACAATGCTCTGTTTAGAAGAGGATACAAAGCCAGCTGAGTTGGAGACAGGCAGGTTTCCAAGGCCTAGCCTTAGCACTAAAGACAGCATCAGCTCATCACCACAATCAGGCTTTTTGCCCCAACAGCAGAAAACTGAAAATGAAGACAGCTGCTATGCCATGGTGCAAGGTGAAGCCAGAACCCTCCAGTGTTCCTTATTCCTCTGCTGGGTGAAGGAAGCCCAGCAGCCTGAGGAAATGGACTTCAGGGCAGAGGGACAACATGAGATAAAACTCAGAGAGCCAGTGTTCAGCACCCACAGACACAAATTACATCTTTAGCTGAAAAATGGAGGGTGAATTTTCCCTTCATATTTGAAAGAATGTCCTGTGTTTTCCTCAGCAGACTAAGTGGTAAGTACTTGCTGAAACCTCCTTGCCCTTTTTGTGGATAAAAGAGCCTTTTGCTGTAAGTAGCATAGACAGGGTGCAAGGAAATTGATTTGCTGCCAATAAATACTTATGAGATATCTTCATTTTCTCTTTCTGTCCAATATCCTCAACTTCCAAGTCTCATCACTGGCTCTCCTATCTCTAACTCTTTTTCTGGGCACTAGAAATAGATTAGTATCTCCAAGAAAGATGCACACTTCAGATAAGCCATCCAAGCCTGCACATACAGTTCAGAATTTTGGTAGAGTGTGTAAAATCTGGATTGTAAGAGGCAAATCCTCTTCCTATCCTGTTGGCAAATCCAGCAATATCCAATACCATCCTTCCAGAGTACTCTCAAAGACCATCAGATAAAAAATGTAGTGTGGCTCAGTGTGTTTTCTCTCCTAAAGCTCTGTAAATGCAATATGACTAATGAAAGCTGATGTTCTTACCTTCTTCCACTCATCTGGTGCCACTGCTCGGAGCAGATTGTCTGGCACCAGCTCCTTCAGGATTTTGGGGATGGCTGCCAGCTGCGTGCGGTCGTTGTTGAAGCGCACTTTATAAATCAGCCCTGCCAGCTGCACAGCTTCATCCTTGGAGCACTTGTGGTAGCCTCTGAGGTACTTTGGCAGCTCCTGCAAGAGACCAGCTCTGAATCCAGACACAATAGACTCAAACATTCTAAATTTGTGAGGTCAGGACACAAGGCTTGCCAAACACAGTCCAAGGACATCCAAAGAACTTTTAGCTCTTTCTGAAGGTTCTCTGGATGATCTTTAAAGATCCAACCAAAACTTTCTGTGATTCTCTGATTTATGGAGCACAATGAGCATTTCCACAGTACAGTGAGATAAAGGAGCTCTCAACATGTTCAGTATAGCTCAGGTTGAACATTGTGAGAAATAAATCTATTCTGAGACTTAGCTGTGCCCCCTCTGGAGGAGGTATTCCTCTGGAGGCTTTATAATGCAGGCTTTCAAGAGGGAGACAGTAATACTCCTACAGACTTAATGTCTCACAAGAAATTAAGGTATTACAAGGTACCTCTTCTTTAGGGAGCTGCTTACCTGGTGGTAATGGAAAATGGTATCAGCTTTCACATCCTTGCCAGGAGTGACATTCAGCCACAGCTTTCTCATGAAGTACACCTCATAGGCCACAGACAGAGCAGCCCCTAAGGAGATCAGACCTTGTTAGTGCTCTCTGTGTCACTGATAGTTCTACAGTTTTTAAATGGCTTGTGAATTTCTTCAGAAAAGTAATTATGGTTTTAATAGTAACAAACAGAATTACTAACAAAACAACACAAAAAGCCATTTTATATGACAAAAGAAATTATCAGTTTTCAGTTCCTGGACACTGCTTATACAATGATCAGATGGAGGAGAAGTTGAGGGACTATCATTGAGTATTTGTTATTGCATGCTGCTCATGATAGCTGCCTGCTGGTGTACAAGGCACCCAAATTCTCTTACACAGATGTGAATACATCTCCTGATGGCTGTGCTTCTACAAATGAATTGTGATTTAGTGCACCCACATCTTTAAACTTATTTTCAGAGCTCCTAGCAGCTACATCAGCTGAGGGAAGAGAAGTTAGAAGGTCTTAGATAGATAGACAGAGCTTCATGGAGTTATGGAGTTGAACCTCAGCTGTCCTGAAATATGTGAAGGTAAGGACAAATTGATACAGAGTTTGAGTTTGATACTGGTTTCAAAACATGTATTATCTATGGGTTGGGGGTGGGATGGTAAGTGCAAGGTATTGCTGTTATTATTACATTGGTTTATTCAAACAAGTGGTTCCTTGACAACATAATGTTTTTGGGTATCACCAGGTAATAACCTGGTTAAAAATTTTCTAACAACTCAAGAAATGTGAGTGACACTCTGTAAAGAACCTATTTCCATGTGTTGGCTGATTCTTAGTATTTGAGGATCAACCTATCTAACTTGCATATATCCAGCTGTGTGTTTTGGATACAACAGGTCAAAAAAGTCTTCTGTACCAATTTTAAATTTCTGGAGAGATCCGCCCCCCAGAAATGTTCTGGTGTTTTTGATAGTCAGTGCTTGGCTGCATCAGGTCACTGATCTTGCTGCTGATGCAGGCATTAACCATGTATGTACAAACAAAAATGATACAAATGACTGCTAAACACTTCCCAAGATGGACTGAATCCTTCTGGATGGATCAGCTGCTTTCCAGTTCAACACAGCATCTCATGCAGCTTCTGGTCATGCTGGCATTTTCCTTACCATCTTTTCCTGGCCTGTTCCTTTTGTTCCAGTCTGTCACCTGCCTTAGTGAGTCAAAGAAGTAGTCTGCTTCATTCTGACTGATCACCTGCAGAGGCCAAGCAATGGGGGAGAGAAAGGAGGGGTTAGCACACCATATAAAATACTGCCTGTGCCACATACCCATGTATCAGGCTGAATTTTCTTTCTGTGTTTACAGTGAGAGGGCAGAATTATAGCAGGAAAGAAGTGGAAAAATAGGAGGAGAAAGGCCCAATTTATATTTCATACAGGGATCTTTATTGCATCTTCTGTTGCATTTTGCTTTCCAGTTGTTTATTGAAGTCAAGCTGAAGATGCCTAGCTTATTCCCAGTCTTCTTCCCTTTGTAAAGTGTTGTTACATATTGGGTTTCTCTTTTCAGGAAGGCAGCACACCAGAACCTCCTTGTGCTAGGGCTCAGTGCTGCTTTTGCCTTAATCAAAGTTTCAGAGAGAAGGGACCTCTCAGTGAGACAGCCAGCCCAAGCTTCAGCTCGGGCAAGGCAGGCTCCCAACAAACCAGAGAGTGATTAATTGGTGCTGGTTGCCCCTTCTTTCCCTCATCCTAGTGGGCACTGTACATGTGCAGCACATCTGGGCAAAGTCTGGGTGAGAAAGGGCTGAATCCAGCAGTATGCAACCATCCTAGCAGCTGCTGGAAGGCCTGCATCTCTGCTTTTAGTGCCACCTGGGTACTGGCAGAATGATAGAAGCTCTGCATCTCCATCCAGCTCATTCATGAGACTGAAGATAATTGTCAACTGCTAAAAGTTCAAGTTTAGGTTGTATCCCCTCAGTAAGACAGAAGCAGTAATCACCTGCTGTGGTTCTTGGCTTTGTATGGTTGTTATGGTGGCCTGGTAATTAAATACATATTACCTGGTAAAAAATACATATTAAGAGAGGAGGGGCAGCCTGGCTACCCTGCCAGAGTGAAGAAGGAGTTACCTTGTCTGCGATCTTCACAAAGAGGCTGAAACCTTCCCAGGAGTGCAGCTGCAATTTGGAAGCGATGTTCTGACACAGAGTCTGGATTTTGGTGTTTGTTCCCACATCAAATGTCTATGAGATAACAAGACTCTTGTTACACAGAGGAGAGTAAGAAATAAGAATATTGAATGTCTTCACACATGCTCCTGGATGAGCACATCATGACTGGAATAATGGTCAAGGCTGGGAAAACAAGTAAGTGCTCACCAGTTCTGTTTCGTTGGGGAAGAAAATCTTGTGTGAGATCTTAGTGTTGTTCTGTAAGATGGCCTCAACCTCCACAGGATGAGGTGCCCACTTCCTGCAGCCACTCCTGGAAAATGCCACCACCATCGTAAGAGACATCAGTTTAATCATTGAGGAAATGAACAGCAATATTCCAGCCAAACAGCAGGCACCCTCCAAAGTGCCAGTACTCTGTGATGGGGCTGGCTCCAATGCACCTCCACCCCAGTGTAAATTCAGTGTATTAACAGCAAGAAACTGAGGGTTTATTAGCAGGTAACGTGAAAGTCTATTCTGCTCTGCAAGGAGGTTGCATGAATAAGGCACCTTCCTAGCCAGCACTATTGCCTCTTCTGTGGATTCAGCAGCATTTTTCCTTACTGACTGACATGTGAATATAGCAACTGCAAGGAGAAATACATTTTATGTAATTCCTGCATCAGTAAAAAGCTATATATTTGGATACAAAATTACTTGGAGCCCAAGTACCAAAAAGGTCTGGAGAGCTGCTTGAAAGCATTTTATGTGAGAGCTGAAGTGCAGTCACTGACTTAGGAGGTGCTTAAGCTGTACAAGCCCAGTTCTTTGAAATTATAGCTCAGAGCAGAGCTGCCTTTTACAGCAAAGGAACTGGCCCTGAAATCTCAGTCATGCCAGAATCTTGACATAGTTAAAGCGAGAACAAATCTAGCAAATTACCTCCTGGGGCTGGTAAGTTCTTGTCCTCTGTGGCATAGAGCAGGCTGCTCAGGTATTTTGAACACCATAGCTGGTGTTACGGGCCTCTCACATGGGGTCGGTCTCTTAGGAGGAGGTTAGTCTGGATCCAAGCTTTAATTGGGTGGATTTGAAAACTAATCTTTTTCCATCCAATAAAGGAAGACTTGACTGTAACCAAGCTGAACAGCATGTGCTTTGTACTGTGCAGGCACTGTATGAAGGACCTTCCCTACTCAGTCACCTGTTCCTGCCATGGCATCAGAGGGAGGCCCTGGGAGCTCAGGGAATTGCTGCAGAGGCACAGGGCTACCCGCCTCTCCTTGCAGCCTGAGCTAGGAATTCACTGCCAAGGTGAGATCTGCTTAACACCCATCAGGGTGGTTCCCTGGCCAGGATTCTGGGGGTGAAGCTGTAAAGTGGTTTATGGCACAAAAGGTGTGTACCCCAGGGCTCAGTTGGGTTCCCCTGTGTGTGTTTGGGTCAGTCCTTTGAGCTGCCTGCTCTACCCTTTCCAAAGAGACCAGGTTACTTACAGGGAGAAGTTGGACTAGATGATCATTGAAGATCCCTTCCAACTGAAATAGTTTATTCTATTCTGTTCTATTCTATTCTGTCTTAAGCAGATGCAAGTTTACTCTTAAGAAAAGAACTTAGAAGATAAGATTTGTCTTTGTTCCACTTCCCATCCCCCAGGCTCCAGATCTGGGGCAGTTTAGCAAATAAAATCCTCCTTCCAAGCAGCCCATTCTGCTTTCCCCTCCCTATTTGCTGTCTCTAAAGAAGCTCTGTACAGCTCAACAGGGCTTAGAGCATGAATAGCACATGATATAGGGAGGCAGGAATTTTTAAGTCTTCTCAATAGAAATAAACAATGAATAGCATTCCTTGACATGCATTTTTCAGACACTTCAAAAGCAAGTTCAATGTGTGGTGACATTTCCCCAGCACTGCCAAACCCCATCCACTGCAAGGGGGACATCCACTATGTTAGTGTTCCCCTAGAGCCTGACCTGTGGGGCTCACAGACAAACGTGGCCCAGCCTGAGGGGAAGGGGAAGATGCAGGAGCTGAAAGGACAAGTCTTTGGGCAGATTCTTTACTGATGAGGTCTGTGGCAGGGAAGTGGTAAATCACAGCACCATCAAAAGGGAGAAGACTGCAGTCAACCTTGTTGCTAAATCTTTGTTCTCAGAGGGGCAAGCTGGGTTATTCCAGTGCTTGGAGGAATCTAGAGAAGCCTTTCCCTTACAGTTCAGTGATCCTTCCTGAATCCTGTCATCCTTCCTCTCTCTCTGGTTTTGTAATGTCCCTTAGAATGACAACTCATTTGGAAGCTCAGGAAACACTGTGGTTTAGGGGTCTTATGCTTCAGCCTGGGGTAATGCCAAGTGGATGGAGAAGTCCTTGCTGTGAGCAGCCAGGTAAGAGTCAGGGCTTTGTTCTTTTGGGTTTTTTTAAAGAATAGGAATTGATTGTACTGATCCTTTGAACAATGACATGCTGCTTCACCAAAGAAAAGTAAGGTCAGGATATCATCAGTGGCATCATTCCAAGCTGCCTGCCCTTTAGGATGTTTGAAATACCCAGCTCTGGGAGTCAAGTGGTTATGTGTGGTGATGAACTTTTTAAAATTCTACTAACTGTGAAAGAAAAAGCTGAAACTGTGACATAGACCTCTCTTCAATGGTTCAAAGTCCATAAAGAAAGTTAAAATGAATGATCATTTGAAAAACCAAGATGTAAAGAGGAAAAGGAAAACAACAGTTGCACTGTTTTAGCCTGTGTGTTTTCTGGGACCTGATTATTGCTATTTGAGCACTTTGAGCTGGTTGTATGCCAGATTATTTACCTCATTACTGTCTGAATCCTCCGACGGCACCCCGGGGCCAGTGTTTCTTTCTGGCGTGTCTCTATGAACTTCTGGGTGTGTTTGAGCAGTGACTTGCTGGGTGGGAAGAGGCCAGTGCAGAGCCAGAGCAGCTGCCAGCCCTTGGTCTCGCTGTACCTGGGAACACAAACCAACAGTTCTGCTACAACCACATAGAATTCTCTGTTTGAGCACATACCAGCTACAGGGAAGAGAAATGCACCCCATCGTGGTCCATTGTGCAGAGAGCTGCAAATCAACAGAGCCTTCACCCAGGCTCTGGCATTCGTTTGCTGTGCAGCAGCCACAGCCTGCATGTGAAGACAGTGCCAACTCCTGCATAAGAAATACTCATGACAGATGCAAACCTCATGGATAAATATAAATTCCAGTTTAGCAGCCGTCTCAGTAGCAGTGAGCCTGGTGGCATCCTCTTGGAAAGCCACTGCTGATTTGGTGTTCAAGCTTACATGTATTCAGATCCTGGTTTCTCAGTGGATGTATTCACCTGCCCTCTGCACTGGCCAGCTTTGCTCAGGGCATGAACGTTTTGCATGCACTGGCTTCCCCTTACAGGTACTCCTGTTCTGAAAAATGAACATGGTGATAGCATCATGTAGTGAGGTGGATGCAGTTCTTAAATGTTCCAGATCAAGCTGGTACTATTTTTCAGGTGGAAATCCAGTTCTTCCAACCTCTGCATCTGTGAAATCCGACAGTTTAAGTTCTTCTGGCACCTTGCCCTTACCATTAAGAAGGGCTCTGCAGCCTTGAGGTGGTCAGTCATTCTGCCTCAAAGCCAGAGCAGAGCTCACTTCAGCTGTGCTCTGAGATTGCTCTGAAATGCTCACTGGTGTGAAGTGGTTTTGGTTGGGCAAGTCAGCATATCTGGCTCTGAAAGGGTATCAGACTTTTCTGAATAAAGAGGTTCTGGCTTCTTTATTCCCACTCACTGTTCTAATTTTGCAGATTAAAAGAGACTATTTTAATCCCATTTATACTCTATAGAGTGGTGTTTGTGTCTGTGTGAGAGCAGGGCATGGTCCACAACACAGCAGCATGGGAAGATGAAAGATTTGTTGCTCTGGCTGTTCTAATGAAAGTATATGCAAATAGCCACCTTTCAAGCATTGTTTTTTCCACATCAGTGATCCCTCTCACATTGGTGGAACACATCAGGCATGGCACTGGCACCATGGTTACAGACTATGCATTAAATAGCCTGTAAGATTCACTGCCTGCAAGAGAATTTGCCATTAACACTGACACACATGATGAAAGTTCCACTACATGTAATACTGGTGGAACAGAAGAAAGAAAATAAATAAACAAACAGAATGCATCCAGAAACAGACAATTTTGTTAATAATTAATATTATTTTAAGCTGCATTTTGCAATTCAGTTTTCCTGGAAGTAGATCAAATTATCAGTTTGTGAGTGGGGAAGAAAACACCAGCCCATTTCAGAGACTTTTATGTGGGCAGATGCCTCTGTAGCCAATCTTTTCTGCAAGGCAGTTTTGTAACCAAATTAATATAACTACTCAAAAGTATTTATTCACTGGTGGTAAAAATCCAGTGTGAACTATGTTTTTGTGAGAGGGGAATGCTGCTGGTGGGAAATTTAGGTGGAGAGTTGCCAGGGCAGTCAGTGAAGGGATGCAAGGACTATGCAGTGCCGTGTTTCCCCTGCAGACTGCTTTGGGAGCAGGAGAGCCTCAGTGACACCTTGCCTGCCTCACAGCACATGAGATGAGCATGGAGTGCTGATGGGAGCAAAGCAGCAGCTCAGGGGAGGTGATTGATGGTGCTCTCTGGCCTCTCCCTGCCAGGGAGTGGTCCTGAGCACTCCACAGAGGTAAGCACTGCCTGACAAAAGGGGGAAGGGAACGTGTTACTCCAGCATTTGTTTATCCTTCCCCTGCCCCCACTGCAGCAAGGATTCTTGATGCCCCCTGCACCTGGGGCCTGGCTCTGCAGGAGCAGGGTGTTTGCACCCAGGTAAATACCTGTTTCTGTTCTCAGTCAGTTGTTTCATAATCTGACAGTAAATCTCATCCCTCAGGACTTCCTCCTGGATAGCTGGCACAAATATCTGGTCAGTGACTTCCACGGAGGAGTGTGCCTGTTTTGAGGGGTAGTCTCCCATGAATTTCATGATGGGTAAATGTGCTGTTAAGGAGAAAAGCAAAAATTTTGGAAGGCAAATGGGAAGTTTCATCTGGATCCTAACATGTTAGTGACTTTGTTGATGTCTAAGTGGATAATGCTGGGAGGAACGTCTGGAGCATGGTCCCTGTCTGTCCCTTACCCCCTTTCCCTTTGCAGCAGCTGCTGCTTGGCTGTGATTTGTACTGTGCTAATACCTGCGTTCTCTGGGCATATGCAGTAAATCTCTCTCACTCCTAAAACCAGGTTATTAGTTTAGTGAGCCATCAGTAGCTGTGGAGTACTGGGAGGAAATTGGAACATTTCCCTATAGACAAGGGAAACAGATTTGATCCACTCCATCCTTATGTGAATGTATCCCCTGTGAGGTGGCTGAGGCATCTCAGTAGAGGTAATTTAGTGGACCTGGCTAACTCTTCCTTCCCCTTTAGTGTTCTCAGATCCCAAAGAGAGGAAAGCAAGGATATCAATGAAGGCCTGACAGGCCAAATCCCGAACATCAGGGTCTGTGCATGCTCTCTTCAGCAGTGGTTGTTTCAGAGGCTCCTTGGAATGTGCCCACAGCTGACTGTGCCCACGGGATTTCTGGAGAACAGCTTTGCTGATGGATTCCTTCTCAGGAGTCCTGAACAAAGACAAATGCAAGCAATACAAAATTACTGGACCAGTATTGCTTTGAACAAAGGAGGTCATTATCATAAAGTCATATCTCTAGACCTGTTCTTTCACAAGACAGTGATCTCAGATCTGCTTTGATTCTGTAGGTCAGCAAGAGCAGGGAAATGTAGTTTCCTGTATATCCAGAAGGTAGGAGGCTTGCGAAAAACAGAGGGGTTTTTAGAAAACTAATTTTCCTCTTTCTTTTTTCTCTGAGATGTTGTATATCCTCATTAGCTGGTAAGTGCTGAAGAAAGGGTGAGAAGTAAGAATAGAGCCTGCTGGAAGAAGTCAGCCCAGTCAGTCCTCCCCTTTCTGGCATTTCTGGAGACTTAAGATACAATGGCCATGGGCCGGAATCTCTGTATCCAAAGTCACAATTACAAGGAACAAAAAGAAGAAACACAGTCAGAAGTGGGAGATGCCATTACATAACAGGCTTTAAGGATTACTGATCAACAAGAACTTTTCTAGGTCATACTCTACACAGAGAGCTTCACCTGAAGTGTTCATAGGAGAACTCTTCCAGGGTGTAAGGCTTCACCTTGATATCCTCTTCATCAGGTTCCTCCATGAAGGAGTTCTGTGAAGCTGTCCTCCTCTGGTCTGGAGACATCATCAGCAGACTCTGCAATAACACAGCCACACAGAGATGTCACATGGAGACAGGTCTCTGCATGCACTGTCAGGGGTTACTCAGCATATGTGTGCAGGTAGCCCTGTGTGCTGCCTGAGACCTCCTGCCTCAAAAGCAGCATCTCCAAAGACTCCAGAATGACCTGGGAACAGCTGACTCAAAGAACCAATTTACACAGAGGTAACAGTAGTGGACTTTGAAATGTATGTGATTATCCAAAGCACAGCACATGTTTTACAATGCACCTGCTTCTCTCTAGTGTGTTTTGCCACCAGTTTTTCTGCTTTCTATCTGTTAGCACAGAGTCCAGTATACTGAATCCTCATAACTGAAGACAAAATTATTAGCAGTGGTACTAATGAGAAACCTTGGCTCCCTCAAAGACTGTATTCCCTTTAAATAACCTGATGCACTTAGAGGTTCTCTTGAGGCATTATGTGATTACCACTCAAGCCCAGAGTGAATGCAGGAAAATGCCACGGCACACTCATACCCCTTAATTGCTACCAGCTCCAGGCACTGAAGTCTCCCATGGTGATAGAGTGGTTTTTGGGGGTTTTTAAAGCCATTGCCTTTGTGCAGCTGCAGTCTTTTCCTTAGTGTCTGGGCTAGGCTTAGTTTTGTTTTCAGACAGGACAGAATTAAATGCTTTGTTTCAATAGGAGGTATAAAACTTGTCTGACTTTGGAGGAACAATTATCTTCCAGTTATAAATTCAACCATATTAACTTATTAATTTTTATCTTCCAGTCTTTTCACATGGAGTGCTTAGCTTTCCTTACCAGCACTTGACTAGAGGGTTTTGTGAGGGAAGGAATGATGTAGATGTCTTCCAAAAATACATTCCCTGTTTTGCCTGTCCTTTCATTCTGGGCACAGATCCAGCCAGAGTCTGCATCCAGCCTTTTGTCTTCGGTGAAGATTAGCAAGTCTCCCTTCTTGAAGGACAGGATGCCAGGATCATCTGGAAAACAGAATAAGGGGGTACTGTTCAGGCTTGACAGTCTGAGAAAATGTAAAGCAATGTGAAAGACAAGGAAATTGTATTTTGAAGGCCTGAAATCAGTTAGCAGTAAAAAGTGATTTGTGTAAATATGGCTAATTTTCCAGTAACACTTTCCAGTAACACCAGAGAAATCACTTCTGTTTCCTCTGACACCCTGACTTTGATCCAGTTAGGGCAATGGCAGAACTCAGTTTGATTCACATGAATGCTGACTTTGTGTCCAGACTGGCAGCAAAGCATGGAAAGGAACTCAGTAGTTGTAAGTAGCTGAAGTTAATGTTTACATTTTAAACATGCATGTCTGTTTGAGCCACCTCTATTCCACAGGAAATTCCAGTTTACTGCTTCTATGAAATTCTTCTGCAAAGTATTTCCAGAGAGCCCAGATCCAACTTCCTACTATAACCAAACTGAGTTCCTGGACACTATACTATCTAAATAAAATACATAAAGAAGGAGAAGGAGGAAGGAAAGATTATTTGTGTGCAAGGGTACTGAATCCCATTGCCTTATGCTTGGCATTGCTGTGCTGATACATCCCCCCAGGAGCAAAGGGACTCTTGATGAAGTTCCCCTCTCCTCTTTGAGCACCTTTGAACAAGTCCTGTGGATTTTTTCATCATTTCTCCACACCCTGTAGAAGAGTTATGAGACTTACCCTGGGATTTTTTCTCATGCATTGCCACAGCAAATTGTGATCTTTTCTTCAGTCCTTCCAGGAACATCACCACCAGCTCAGCAATGACAACACTGTTTACAGATGTCAGAACAAACTCCTCGCCACGAAGCGTGATGAGAGTGCAGCTCTGTCCAAATGACTTCACTGCCCTAGGTATTATTGAACAGTTTGTTACCAGAACATCTGAAAAACTTACAGACCCATCTGTAAACACAGCCAAGGCACCCAGATCTCCTTGCAGGTAACTCCCTTACAGTGAATATTGGTAGTTCCTAATTTGCCTTCCCATGAGCTGGCAGGTGTGAAGGACTGAAGTGGTTCAGCTTTGCTCTGGACTCCAGCATGTTTTGTACAAAAGTGCTTCCATATAGACACAAGAACTCCCTTCTTTTGGAGTAACTCAACAGCTAATTAAATCTCTGGCAGTCCTCACAGGGGGCTTTTTTGTGTATGTAAGACCCTTTTCTCCAAGTAACCTGATGCAAGGATGTGTGCCATGAGCAGACAGTAGTTAACAGCTTTTCTCAGTGATCCTCTTCTGGTCCATGACACCTGAGAAAGATGTCAACTCCCAGCATGCACAACAGACAATGGCTTAACTGTGTCACTTATTTGGGCCATTGTTGTCTCAGTGCCTGCTTGTGCTTCTTTATACCTTTCTGACTCAACAGGACCACTTTACACCAGCTGGAAGAATCCAGTCCTTTCAGTAGTTTCTTTACAGGCTGCTCAGTTTTGCCTTTCTGTTTCTTGGACCTAGGCTAAACCACCTTTCTAGGCACAGATCAAATCACCTAAGGAGGTGGCAGAGAAGGTACACCCTTTCTGAGTATGGAAGAGATGCCATCTTCAGATCTTGTTTTTCTGGGGCCCTCACCTGTTGGTGTGGATGCCAGTTATCTCTGGGTAGGTCAGCTCAAGGAGCCGCTTTTCTGACTCATCCAAGAAGCAGATGCCTTTCCAATTTATAGCAATAATGAAGTGGTTCTTAGGCAAGCTAGGTCCTGAAAAGACAGAAAAAATCCTTATCAATGCTATACAAGTCTTCTCCTATTGATCTTATATCTATCCTCTACTCCCAGGCTCCAGATATTACCTGAAAACTTAGTGACTTCAAAGAATCTGGAAAAGAGCAAAGGCCACTGAAAGCGAGCAAAATCTACAAGTTGCTCCTTCACAGTCTGAGAGGAGAGATGGTCCTGTGTGTATGGGGCCTGCAGGAAAAAAACACACCCAAGGTTTTCTCAGTAAAATCTGGTTTGCATGATCTGCAGACAATAAAGAACAAGCCTGATCCCAGACATCCCAACAATTCTCTGCTGTTACTGGTGTCAAGGGAACTTGAAGAAAGTAAATCAGGAATGGTCTCCAGGGACCCCCATGCAGCTAACAGTGCCCACAGGCATCTGGATTCCAAATTTCCCTGGAATCCCCACTGACCTATTCCAAGTCTAATGTGCCTTGGATGCCATGGAAATAATTCAGGTAATCCATTTCCAGATCAAAAGCCAATACTTCATGCCATGCCCATCCTGACTTGGTTTTCAGATGGAAAATAGAGCCTTTAAACTACTCTATTCAGAGATTTAAATGTACTTTTTCATTCTTCCCCCTTGCTCTTCATATGGAAGTGTGAGCAGAAAGGCTTTCTGCTCCCCCAGACCTAATGAGCTATTTGGGATCTCCAAACTGAGTTCGTTTTCCTTTTTCCCCTACAGACTATTAATAAATAAAAAATGGTGAAAGAAGCAGAAGCTGGTGCTCAAGAGTGGTTACCCAGCAGTGCCTGACAAACCTCTTACCTTAGCATGTGCATAGGTTACAAGGCTCACCCACTTTTCCAGGGGTTTGGACTTCAGCTGCTTTACTGGAATACAGTCATGGAGCACCTTCTGCACAAGTTCATTGTGGATGGTATCTCCAAATTGGATATAACAATATTTTGCACCTATCTCCACCAAATCTTCCTCCTGAAACAATTAATCCATTAAAAGAGGCCTAGAAGGATGTCACAAAGGCTAAATAGCCTCTTTCAACCTTTGAACCATTTAGGAATGGGGTTTTCTCAGTTTTTGTCTGGATAACTCTTAACAGTCACCCAGCATGAGGAGGGATAAACTTCTCACAATCATAACATCAGAGAGATTATTAGCAAAGATATTTTAAAGTACAACCCAATTTGGTCCTTTGGACATGCCTCCAAGCTCTCACGTCAACTGGAAGTTGCAGGGAAGGAAAAAGTATCAATTAGAACTGTCAGTGCGACAGCTGGCACAATCACCTGGACAGGGATTGTGTGTTAAGAAGGGAAGGGTTGTTCACATCCCCTTGAGAGGAATAGTGGATTTGTCTTTACAAAGCTGTGGGTCTGCTGGTAGATAAAACTAGCACTGGGAGATAAAAGAAACAATGGGAAGGATTGATGAATAGAAAAATATATTTGCTTTTACAAATGAACTTTAGGTTGCTGATAAATGAAATTAGACATTGAAAGATGAAAAAAACAATGGGGAAGAAAAACCCCTAAATTCCATAAGAATTAAAAATTAAAAGGGAGGGTTATACATTAGAGGGAAATCTTTGGTATCAGGCATATTGGGAAGACTGGACCTCTTAAGTACCTCAGCCAATGGGGAAGGAGAGAGGGAAATGTGGCCGGGAAATCAGGATAAAAAGGAGGCTTCATCCTCCAAAAATCTGAGAGATCCCAGGGGAATGCCCCATGACCTCTCCTTTTATTGGAATAAAGTAACAGGACTCCTCTGTCTCCTTTTTGAACACAACCCTCAGGTGTTGGTGGATTACTTTTCCTAACACACTACAAACAGTTCACATTCCTGCTTTGTAACGTGGGAAGCACTAATCCAGTTGTGTCTCCTTAGGGGGCTGAATGAGGAGCCCCACCTTGTCGCAGCGGTACTCTCCAAAGCGAACGCCCCGGATGAGCTGGTGGTAGATGAGGTCGGTGCTGACGGGATCCTGGCGGGAGCTGTGCCAGGGCGTGAAGATCTCCTTGCGGAAGTAGAGGCGCCAGGGCGCGTGGCGCTCGTGCGTGCCGCGCTCCTTCACCAGCTGCTCGCACTGCGAGATGGCGTCCAGCACGTGCTCCCGGCCCCCGCCCAGCGACCACACCTGCCACACAGGGACACTGCATTTACTGCCAGCCTGCCTGAAGGACAGTTCACACACTGCTCCTGTCTCCTGACTGCAAGGAAAACTCCAAAAGGGAGGCAAATTGTATGGGGTAAGTGGATGTATCCAGCTGGGATTCAGAGCTGATTAGGTTTCAGTGCAGGACTGGGTTGAGGGAGTTCCAGAATTCAGGAATTCTCAGTGAGGCTGGGTAGGCAGCAGCAACTCCACAGAAAGAGAAGGGAGCATTTACTGCCAACCTGCTCTGGGCCTGCCCAGAGGATCAGTAACACAAAGCTCCTGGTCTCCTCACTGCAAGAAAAACTCCAAAAAGGTAAGCAGATGTATCTGCAAGTTGTATGTGGTAAGTGGATGTATTTTTACAGGTCAGCTATGTGGCAACGGAAACCTTACAGGGCTGCAGCAAGAATTGCTGAGTGATGAGCCAACAGAAAGGCAGAATAGTATTGACAAGTCTTGAGATCCAGCTGGGATTCAGAGCTGATTTGGTTTCAGTGCAGGACTGGGTTGAGGGCATTCCAGAATTTAGGAATCATCAGTGAGGTTGGATGGGCAGCAGCAACTCCACAGAAAGAGAAGGGAGCTTTCATTCTATTTTTCTACACTTTACCTTATCAAACACAGCAATGTAGAGTGAAAACCCAAAGATATCCTTCAGTTTGATTTTATCTGCTATGAACTGACAGATCTCTTTGGCAGTGGAAGCAGAGTCTGCAGGGACAGTGATGCTTTGGCCATTCATCAGGGTGACATGAAACATAATGGATTTCTTCTGCTTTGTTGCCTGTAAGTCAGAGTTAAATGAGAGAAAAAATTTATGGACAAACCTTACTGTCTTCTGAAGAATGAAGTAAGCTTTTAGATCTAAGAGCTACACACCTTGTACAACCTGGTCAACAATCTTTAAGTGAATCACCAACACCCACACAGTTTCTTCAGAGCATGGTGAGTTGTAAATATAAATTGCATCCCTGGAGCAGCACTGGACTCAAGTTTTCTCCTCCTCACAGCTCAGTAGAGCTGAGAATCACATAACAGTGCTGACTGATAGATTTTTCATGAGCCACATTTGTCCTGATGACTTTTGGGAACAGCCTTACATGCATCAGTGCAGAGATGGCCTGAAGCAAGCACATTGCCCAGGAAGATGTGTGCTAAGCAATAGGGTCCCTGAGATTTAGGGAGGAATTGAACTGAGGTCTTGAAAGGAGAAGGGGGTGATTTTTAATTACTAGGGTGAAATTTAATTACTGGGGTGACAGTTAAAGGAAGTGGAGGACAATATAGCACCATCATAATCCTTTCTGCCTTTCATTTTAAAAGCATAACCTTAGCTCAGTTCTTTCCAAAAGTGAAAGTAAGAGCTTTCCTCACAAGGTTGTTTCTGGCCTGTGGTTCCTGAGTGGATGGAGGTACTTCCCTGCATATCATCTGCTGCTCCTTACATACTTTTCTGCGTTTATGGTAACTGAATAGCCAGAAGAGGTGTATCCAAGAAGCTTCCCAGACCAAGGTGGCTGGTCTTCAATCCCCTTGTGCAATTGATTTCCATTATTTGATTTAGGAATTCCTGCTATTACAGGCTAGTGAATGTAGTATAACAACAAAGTAAGCAGTACACTTAGAAAAACCAGTACAAAATGTCCCAGATCAATATAATTAAGCCAAAAGGGAGTTGCTACCTGAAGTTCCAGCCAGCTGGGAGGTTCAGTGCGGGCCCCGTTGCTGTAGGTGCGTCTCAGACGCTCAGCACAGTACGGAGCGTAGCCCGTGGGCCCGTGGTGGATGAAATTCAACAGGTACTGCAAGCACAGAGCAGGAGAAGGAGTTAGGAAACATTAATCCTCAGAAAACATTAAAAACCTTCTGCAACTGACACACTAGATTTCAGTGACCCATTAGATTTCAGTTCACCAGAAAATATTAAAGATTAGAGCTGGAATTATTGTCTTCAAAAAGGAGGCTTGAGACACTTAGTTTTCACTCTTTCTTCAGAACTTTCAGTCCAACGGGAGAGAAGATTTGTGTTAGTCTCTCCACTATGTTTAACTACATGAGTAGTGGAGATTTCGTTCTTATGGTTAGGTTAGAGCAAGACTTCGTGTTTTCAACCCAAGAGCCTGAAGTTTTATGACATGCTGTACGAATGAAAGAGCTGGGAAGAGGGCTAATGTCAGATTAGGTCTAATGATGATTGATACTTTTAGTTCTACCAAGTTCTCTGGCAATATCAACTGAAGTCCATGATTAAGATGGGACATTTGAAGAGATGAATGGGATAAACTGAGCTTTTGGAGTCTGTATGGCTCTTGGATGACAAGGACTTGTATTTATGTATCTGTATTTAGTGCAAGCATGCCTCATTCACCTGGTTATTTTAATGATTAAAAATATTCCTAGAGGTAGGGTATGGTCGTGTCTTTCATGAATTCTGCATGCTTCCAAGTCTTTGGATGAAGACTGGTGTCAAAATATGCCTATGGCTTGTGACTGGTTTGTTCCAAGTAGTGCCCATTTAGCAGCATGTATGATTAGACTGATTATTTGAACTGGGGTGTTAATAAATCAAGGCTGAAGTTTCATGCACATCCATGGATCCTGTTTGCTCTCAGATCTAGGAGGAAGCCTGATGTCAAGTTGGAGCCACGCGTTGAGTTTTTGTCCTGTGGTGAAGTGGATTTATCCTCCATTTAAACTTGGAAATTAATAAATCATTAAAAAGTCCAAGTATCTGTTGGACGTTTTAGGGCTTAGAGATACAGGGTAAGGACTGATAAAACTTGGGGGTGTGATTTTGTACTGCCCTCCTGAATATAATTAATGACAAGGGTTGTAACTGGAGACATCTTTTAGTTGTCTTCGGCTGGAAAGGTAGAAGTGGAGAAGTTAAAATTTGCCAGATCCCTTGCAGATTATAGATCTAAAATGAGAACTGTGATGAACAACAGAATCCAGACTGTATGATGTGTAATGAAAAAATTAAATATGAAGGCAGCAATAATTTATTTAAATTCCCAGATAAGCATATGTGATGAGAAAGTTTCTGCTGAAACCACAGCACCAGCTGCTCTGGAAGTCAAACATTTTATATGGCTGTCAGCATCAAAACACACAAGACACCAGCTGAGCTGAGGTGTGTGAGCTGCTGTAGGAAGGGTTAGCAGTGTACCTTCACAAACGTGTCTGAAGGAGGAAAGCAGCCAAGGCAAAGTGACAGAAGGATCCAGCCACGAGCATAGCTGCTCCTGTTGCTGTTTTCTGTGAGTTGTTTGCAAATCTGGCAATAAATCTCATCTCTGTAACAAAACATGAGAGCAACAGATAATTCACTGTCTGAACTCTTTGGCTACATTTTGACTGCAAGCTTGGCAGGATTGCAGCTATATGAGGTAGATCTGAGCTAGGTTCAACCACACTAGCTAGGATAGCACCTGTAATGCACCTCAGGAAATAGCTTTGCTATGGAAAAGGCTCCAGGCATACTTAGGGGCTTTTGCCACACCTTCTTACTCAAGTGCAATTCCCATGCTGAATTAACTTCAGCAGGGAGATAGAGAGAGAGAAGCAGAGGGCTGTGCAGGAAAAACAGCTGCTTGGTCATCCAGCTGTGAAATGGCATTGCTGTCCAAGAGTCCAGATGTGTAACTTGGTCTGAGCTCTCTGCAGCATGTGGGTTGTAGCTCATGGCTCTTGTCTGTCTGCTTGTAGGTGGATTTGGGGGTAAGGATGGGGGACACCCTGCTTAATTTTATATGTGTGTATATATATATATATATATATATATATTTACATATATATATATATATATAATTTATATTTATATGCAAACTTGAAGTGAATCTTGCACAGAAGTGGAGAAAGGAGCACTTCAGTGTAAGCTTCTGAAAATGCAAGTTTACCTGCAACAAGGACCTAAGGGAAACAGATGCAAAAATCTGCATAGAAATAAAACTGTTATTAAAAAGTCATCTTAATTTTTTCTAGACTCGTGGAACCCACATTTGTCAAATCTGATGTGAGAGGGCACAAGTTGGATGAGTTTTCTCTTCCTTCACAGGACACTTGATGAAACACAAACCAAGGGTATGGGTACTTAGCCTGTGGCTATTATGCTATATGGATTGAATGCAATTTTTTCCAGTAGAGAATCTGCTTTAGGGAGTGTCTTGACTGAAACAGAGTGACTGTGGAGAGAGGAATGCAGCCCATGACTGAGGTCAAGGCACAGCCAAGACTGAGGTCAAGGCACAGCCAGTTTTTGTGCTGGGCTTTGTTACAGAAAAGTGCTTAGGATAAAAAAGGAGAGGATTCATGAGGTCGGGTCAGAATCAACAAGTTTCTGATGTATCCTTCACACCATGCTTGGCCTAAGGTCCAGCCTCACACTGCTTGTGGTCAGGATTTCTCCTTAGTGTCTGATACACTCAGCAATCCAGACCTTTGACCATCTCTGATGTGGGGACATTGCTTGATGCTCAAAAAGAGGCTGTTGGGAAACCTTTCATCCACCTAGTATACCTTAACTCCATATTTCTTACTCCTCTGAGTGACTCTTCTCCCTCATTCTAGGGCAGTGTTCCACCTTCAAGTGTTATTGAGTCACAGCCCCTTTCCATACCTGTGGGGTATTCAGAAAGCCACACGTGGCGGCAGCTGGCCTAAACTGCAACATGAAAATACCAGAAAAGGCAGAAAAGGGAGTCGTTCTCCAGGACTGTGGAAAAAGGATGCTGGATTTCCTTGATGCAATGGGCACCTGGCCCTAGGAAGGGGGTGCAAATTTCCTACCTGATGGCAGGACGCAGAATTGCATTGCCAATAATGAAGTGTACTTTCTCTAGGTTGGACATAGGTCTCTGAGAGATCGAGATGTCCTCTTGGAAAGCCTCTTCTCCAGTTCGTAGCTGCTCTGTCACCTGGAAGAAACAGAGTAGAACCCCAGAGTGCTCTAGAAATCTCCCCTCCTAGCAGGCAGCTCTCCCATAAATGAGAGATATTCCTTCCCTATCTTACTGGCTAAAACTCTTCCTGCTCAGGCAGGAGAACCAGGCCATATTACCCCCTTGCCTCTAAAGGTAACTCATTAAATGTGCTGTTACAGCACTATCTCTGGCTAAGAGAACTGTCTTGTACTGTCCTATACAGCCCTAAGCACTGGTTCTCAGTCTGCTCATGCCTCTGGGCAAGCTGTTCTGTAAAGCCAACAATTCTCAGTAATAAATCTCTGCTGGTGTTCTCTGCCAGAGAGCAAATGACATCAGTGCACACGGGGATCATGTCCAAAGAGCTCTGCACCAGATATCCCACAAAGGGCTGCCCTGGCTTGGCAGGGAAACAAGTTCTCAGCTGGGAGGTTGCTCACATAACATCTGTCAGAAGGTGAAGACAGGGTTTCAGGCAAGAAGAAAGGAAAGCAATTTATTTCCACCCCTTACCTTCCCTGTCAGCTTGGATGACCGTTTCAGTTTCAGGGATGAAATCCCCTTAGAAATCTTGTTATCCTTTCTGCCTTCTCTCTGCAATACACATTACCATTATAGGAAATCAGATTCATGCACAGCAAGAATGATTCATTAAGGACAGAAAGATGCTCAAGTGAAGATGTTTTTGTTTTTTCTTCTCCTGCCAGAAAGAGCTGAGTGTCCTGCCAGGACTTTTGCACTTGTGGCATTTCAAGTACAGTAGCATGAAAGAGTTCCTTTGCTTTCTCACTCTTGGTAGAACAGCACAGAAACCAAGGAAAGCAAATGAAAACACAGACATAGTCTGCTTGTCTCACCATATTTGGGCTGTCATTCTTCAACTGGACCTGGTTTTTCCTGCCAAGTGTGTCATATATCTGTGTCATCACGGAGCTGCTCTTGGTTGTGGCACTCTTGGCAAACATTGCTGGCTCTGGCAGGTCCCCCATGAACCTCAGGATGATCACCCATACAGCTAGAGAAGCCTATAATAGCAAAAAGCACAGTCAGACAGTGCCAACAGGACCAATGGCTCCATGCCATTTCTGCCTGTTTAGATTAAGAGCATTTTCTTCCTTTACCCAGTCCAAATTGTTAAAATTCCCATTTCCTCTGGCTACCTACATCAAGAGTTTAGTTTCATACCAAACAGCAAGACAGCAACACACCAAATTTTCCTGCTAAAGGAAGAGGGTACAGCTCTGGTGGAAAGGTCAGATTTCCTCTGTGGTTGCTGAGCCCTCACCATATTCTTTACTGACACCCTGGACGTATATTGTGGCTGGAGGGAGGTGGAGAAGCCTTGGCTGAACTGCACTCTGCATCTGCTGACCTGGACCAATAAGCAGTGGAGTGGAGTCTGCCAGGACCCTTCACACCCAGAACTAGAAAGCCAGGTAATAGCAAAGTTCTTGATGCATGGGGTCCTCCATTCTGCCAGGCTGCTTAGAATTAAGGAAAACACCTTCCTCAATCCCCCTCTGGTTCAATGGGATATTGGAGGCCTGGTCCTCCCCCTTCTGTCCTGTCTCACAAACCAGCAGCCCTAACAAGAGCAGAGACAAGCTCTCATTCTTCTTCTCTCCAGTCCATTTTTATCCCCAAAAGGTGTCTGGAGAAGTCAAAACACATCCCTAAGTTCTCTCTTTGGGCAAGAACAAAGGTGACCAGAGATCCTGCATGGGGCAGGTGTTTGTGTGAAGTGACTGCCAGCAAATTGCCAAAAAATGCTGCTGGGAACTGCTGCTTTCAATACCATGACTCAGGAGTAACCCCTTGGCTCTGGAGACTCTAGTTCCCAGGGCTGTGCCAGAGCCAGGACCCAGGGATGATGGGACCTGTAAAGCCAGGGCTGTGGAGAGAGCAGGTTCAACATGAACAACAAGGAGCCAGATACCAGGACATTGTCCTTGTCATCGTGGTAGAGCAGCGGGTGCCGCAGCTGCCTTCGGATGTGTGTGTGTGTGGAAGAGCCCTGGAAATAAGTAGCTGCAAACTTGGGGAAGGTGTACTCTTCCAAACCATGTGCTTCCTCTTCTAGCTCCACACTCATGGGAACCATGTCCAGGTCCACTTCCTCCAGCTTGTTAGGCTTTGTTTCCAAGTCCTGTGCAGAACAGGAGGAAGAAGGATGTTTTCTTTTACTGAACTCTGATATGCTTATGTTTAGTTTTCCATTTTTTTTTCCCCTTGGCCATAGGCCTTCCAGAATTTGCCTTTCCAGCTAACCCCAAAGCCATTTACAGTTGCTACCAACAGATCATTTGGACTCAGAGGTTGTCCTTCTGAGATGCATCCATTCCATGTGGTCTTCCTATCTTGGTCCTCAGCAAGAATATTGCTGATGGAAAATACAGGTGTTACTGTTCACATCCAGTACTTATCCATACCATTCTATTCTGCCCACCTCTTCCTACAAAATTCCAACCTCCACAGCTATCAGGACAAGTATATCACAGATTTTGCCTTTAAGAATATGGTATAACTTGGTTCATGAACTTTCAGCTTGTTTCAGTTAGAAAATCACTGAGAGCACTGTCAGCAGAGCATAAAATTGGTGCCAAAATGCAGAGGGTGGACCAAAGAAACAAATGCAAAGTTTGAAGCTATATAGTCCCTAAACTGCATGTGACCAAAAACCTTTGGGAACTCACCTCTGCAAGAGATGTTTTAGTGACTGGATGAATAATTTGGGGGATTCTTTCACTGTACAGAAGTTCACTAAACAGAACTGACCACTGATGGAATTCCAGTGGACGTACACAAGGGACAAACATGACCCATTACCAGTTTTCAGCTCTTTACCTCAAAACCCAGAGGAGCCTGTCCTTCTTGGCCTCCAATCATAGAAGGTAAAAACCCAAAAATTTTGTCCACCATTTCTTGGTCGCTGATAACATCATGATTTGTTGGTTTATTGGCAAGCACGTTCCTCCCTTGTCTTGCTTCTGCCTCCTCTCTCTCCTGAGTTGGCAGGTGCTCCTTTAAACAGAAATAGGCATGACTTGAACATGAACATCATTCTGCTAGAGTGAAGGGGTATGAAGATGAAACACTTTTACAAAGGTGTGTGATTATGAGGTCCAGCTCTGCCAGCACAGTGTTGAAACAGGAAGTCAAATGTTGCTTGTGTCAAGCAGTCACAAAGACCTGGCCCGTGAGCAGCAGGGCCCTGCTCTTACAGCTGCCTTATGCTGCAATCAGAAATGTGTGTGTGTTTGCCTTGTTATATTTTCAAAGCATCATTACAAATAGGGTTACAACTATGTCTTATCTTTCTTTAAATATAGCAGTGCTCAGAGGTTTGAGCAAGTCCACAGGTGTGAGCTGGGTAATGCTGGCCAGTGTTCCTCCACCAGCATACCACCTACCTTTTGTAGTCTCATAGCTTCTTCCCTTCCTTTCAATGGTCCCAGGACTTGGATATTCCTGGCTTCCAGCTTGTTCTGTGGACAACAGGAGTATTCTGTGACTGTTTGTATGACTGCTGAGGCAACTCCCTTCTGCCTTTAACAAACTGTCCACAGCAGGACTTTGTCCCAACAGAGGCTTAGTTCAAGATTTGATATTTTAGGGAACAGCCCGTAGGCAGAAATCTGCAAACTGGCTTAGTCCTGTTTGTACAGCATTAGTACAGATAGGATCCTGTGCTATGGACTGCCAAGGGTAGCACCTTCCAAGACACACTGTATTGGGATTCCCTTCTGAATGGCTGCCTGAGTGCCACCCTGCTGTAGAAATTGATCTCCCCTTGCAGGAATGACTGATAATAGAGATCTTATCTTTTCTCCCTTCTGTCGCAGCCACTGCAGCTGTATCAATGAAGTTTTGATCCATGGTAATGATCACATAAAGCAAATGTAAACAAGATCAGTCTGCTCAACACTCTGCTTTTGTACTTGGCAAGAGTTCAAATTAAAATACCCCAAAATGAATATCCACACCCAATGCTATGTTAAGGCGACACTTGCTGGTGATAAAATCTCTATTGGATTTCATAGAAACAACGTGTTCACAAGGCATCTGTGAGCATTACCTCCCTCTTCATCCTCTGGAAGGTGTGGCGAGCGAGCATGCCCCTGGCATGGGCCTGTATGACGCGTGCAGCTCTGTGCTGCTGTGCCAGGCTCTGGCGCAGCAGGAACCCGCGGCACCGCGCCTGGAACGCCACGATCCG